ACGCCCGCCGGGGCCGCCGCCTCCCTGTCTCCCCGTCTCCCCGGCCTAGACGGCGCCTAGTTTTTCTTGCTCTCCCCGGCGACCCTCGGAGCAGGGGGGTTGGGAGGGGGTGTTTTCCAGAGAGTGCCCAGAATATATGTTTTCCTAACCTGTTGGGAGGAAACGTGAAGAAGACAATGTTTTTATTGTATGCCAACACAACGTTACTTACTGCCTCGGGCAATTCTCCCCACGATCCCTGGGCGTAGCTTGATTATCTCCTTTTTACGGAGGAGAAGAGCCAGGCTTGCTCATTCATTGATTCATTCCACCAATAATCGTTTACTCAGTGTCTCTATGTTCGGGTGTTCAGGATACAGCAATGATAAAATAGACACAGCCCTTATTTTCGTGGAACTAAATTCTTGTGACAGGGACAGCAATAATCGTAAGTAGCCTTATTGTGTGACCTAACCGGTGATGTGGTCAAGAAGGGCAGAAGTCAGAGTGCCAGGGTCTATCTGACAGCAAAGAGCTTTTTTCACCATACCATTTTGTGTTGTTTTCTAATTGGGGTAAGGTTCATCATAACATAAAATTTTGCACCGCCCACTTGGTAATTTGGAAATATGGTTGAGTGAGCATGGGCAGGTAATCATACGTGGCTTATTTTTGCACTGCGATCCTAGTGTGACATTTCTGAGTTTTAAAAGATGTGAGATGCCCGGCCGTGTGGTTCAGTGATTGAGCTTCAACACAGGAACCAGGAGGTCTCAGTTGGATTCCTGATCAGAGCACATTCCTGGGTTGTGGATCCCCAGTAGAGGGCGTGCAGGAGGCAGCCCATCCATGATTCTCTATCATCTCTCTCTCTCTCTCTCCCTCTCTCTCTAAAAAAAAAAAATCAATAAAAACATTTTTCAACAAAACCAAAAAGCCCCTATCAGACCCTTTGAGGAAGACTTCCCCAGATGCTGCAGTGGGGGTGGGTTGGGGGGTGCATGTATCTTGTGGTTTAGGAAAGTTACTTGGTTTGCACTTTACAAGGTTTGCTAGCTTGCAAATTTGTGAAGATGATTGAGATAATATTTGTAAAGCCTAGCCCTGCTGGCGTGGCTCAGCGGTTGGGATCTCCGTTTGATTCCTGGTCAGGGCACATGCCTGGGTTGTGGGCTAGATCCCCAGTAGGGGGTGTGTAGGAGGCAGCTGATCAATGACTCATCATTGATGTTTCTCTCTCCCCCCTGTCTGTTCCTCTCTCAGAAATCAATAAACCTAAATTTAAAATATATATGTATATGTAAAGTCTAGCACGATAACATTTTATTTCTCCTTCCCCCTCTTCTATGGAACTGTTCTTTGGGTCCCTAGGGAAAATCCTAGCGGTTTCAAGTTTATGATATTTTGTGTTCAATTAAACCTTTACAATTACATTATTAATTTTAGGCAAACAGGTATTTCAAAAGTGGGAAAGCATGGGGATCTGTGTAAGGAAAGGAAGATGTGATTCTCAAAGTGGAGGAGAGATCTTATTTTAGGACTCCCCATCCCCACCCGCATTTTATTAAATCAGCTTAGCTGTTCCAGAATCTCAGGAACCTGTGTATGGGCTTCATAAAATTGCACAGGATATTTTGACACATATCCTTCCCCCCGTTGGCTAGTGCTTTATAATAATTTCCCTCATAGAGTAAGTGTGAGCATACTGGAAGACATTCATTGCTGTTTATTGCTGCTGATGGGCTTTTAAATCTTAGTCTCTTGTTTCATAGAATTAGTATTTTCTGCTTAGTTTTTGGTGAATCAGTGGCACAGTTTCTCTAGAAGGCAAGTTCACCATTATTTCCTCAGGAACTATCACTATGTGTCAGCTTAGGCACTCAATACATGTATGTTGAATGAAAACATAAAATCTTAATAACTAAATGTAACAATTCTGTTCGGTGAAGGAATGAATAACTGACAAAATAGGTTAAAACTTTTTGCATGTCTATTTGGTCATAGATAAGTAAGTCTTTTAGTACTTTGATGATTACAGGTTTCATGAGAACATAATCTTGGGTATATATTGAGTTTTATTCTGGCATTATTGCTAATCTCACAGGCTTTAGAGGAAGGAAAATATTTTATCACTTGTTTACTTATGTGGGGAAAACCACAAGATGTTTACCGTAGAAAATCAGGGATAATAGATACATAACATGTTTTTCTATCCTTGACTATATTATGGTAAGAAGTTTCAAGTTGAAGTTAGGGCACAGCCCCAGTTCTGAAAGCCTACTAAAACTTCTGTGGTGTCCACTGGAATGTTTGTGGCACTGCAAAATCTGAGAAGAAAAATCCGGAGTTGGCTGTAAGTACAGTAATGTTTCTCCTTTAACTGACAAACCTGCTGGTGCTTGTGGATCTGTTTATCTGAGCTTTGATGGGTCTGGCATCAGAAAAGACACTTTATCTCAGTGTCTGTCCTAGAATCATGGTTTCAGTGGCAGTACCCTTGCCAGTTTTATCTTGTTTGAAAGCAAACTAAAAGTAATAGAAACATTACCACTTCTGAAAAACCTTCTTGAACCTAATGAAGGCCTTAGTGGGGCACCAAGTTGATTATCTATCTTTAAAGCAGAACTGTGCCATACTTATAACTGGTCTGAATTTAAGCATTTGTTCATCATTTATTCATCCGTCCACTTATCAAACATGTATTAAGCCTCCGCTGAGTTTAGGGCCACAGCATTGCACAGCTCCAGGGACACTATACTCTTTCTGTCAATTCAAAAGTGCACATAGAATGTGAAAGGAGTTGGTAATGCCAGGGTACTGATACCAGGCTATCTATTCAGCATTAGGGTGTACAAAGCCAGGTAAGACATGGTCTCTTCTCTAGACCTCTCAGGCTGTAGAGGCAGACATGTAACAATAAAGGTAACATGTTACAGGTATCATGCTGTAAACCTGTGGAGATTACAGTGGGCCCAGAGGAAGCAGCAGCTAACTCTATTGACCAAAACTATTGAGGAATGGGGTGTTTGGTCAGGAAAGATTTAGTAGTGACTATGACTTGAGCATAGTCAGAAAAATGGACAGGAAGGAACTGGCATTGGTGGCAGAGTGTGGGAGAGCCAAGCTGGACAAAGCTCAATTAGCCTGGACTATGCATGGAACGAACTGGCAGATGATGGTGTAGGGGTTGCTCTGGGGAGACTGCAGGAGAGTCAGGCTGAAGCCAGAAAATAGAGAATTTTATTGCCTTTATAAGAAATTTGGACTTTAAATGTTTTTTATTTTATTTTATGATTTTAGACAGACAGGAAGGGAGAGAGAGACAGAAACATCGATGAGAACCTGGGACCAAGCCTGCAACCCAGGCACATGCCCCAACCTGGGATTGAATCAGCAACTTCCCCGTGCATGGGTGAAGCCACTGGAGAGTTATAGTTTATGTTCTCTCTAGATGAGCTGATCTACTAGGAAATGAGACAGTATAAAAATCTTGAAGCAGAAGAGAAGTAAAATGCTTTATGAATTTTTTCCCTTTAGAACCTAAAAATTTCATAAAGATCCAAGGGCAAGTAATGCAGTTTAAGGAAGTGAAGACGTGCTTGCAAATTGGTCTAACTGCAGAATTCTAATAGATCTTTATGATTCCCCCCCCAGTCTTTTTATGTTTATGTAATATTTAAAAAAATCACATCATTATAGTAACAGTTGAAGCTGGCATGAGCTGACAGAATAAACACTGAATCTCAGTAATTGTGTAATTCAGTGGGAATTCAAGTGAGGTTGAGCTGGAGCATTTAGGGAAGCATTGGTCATAGAGACCAATCTTTTAGAAAGGGCATAGAGATCATTGGTTATGTAGGTGATAGTCAACATTGTGACTATAGGGGCACATAGAAGAGAGATGAAAGTTCTTGGCATCAGTTACATTTTAATAGACTGAAAAAGTCCTCCTTTCTAGCCATTGACTGAAAGTACAAAGGGCCATAAAATTTTAACTTTTCATTCAGAGGTATTTCTAGTTTTTTTTTCTTGTGCCTTCACAAAATGTTATCAAATGAAAGTATTTTGAATTAAGAGAGAAATTGTTTTCTCATTATTTTTGGTAATGAATGCCTGAAATGGGATCCAAGAAACTATGCATCACAGATAAAGCAGGCTCCTCCACAAACTGTTCATCTGAAATCTGAGGGATGCTTAATTGAGGGTGATGGCCTTTAGCATTCCCCCTCCCCCCCCTTTTTTTTTAAATTCCCCACTTGAGGATGTTTTCATTGACTTAGAGAGGAATGGGAGAGCAAGAGAGCCACAACCTAGTTTTGTGCCCTGACTGGGAATTGAACCTATAGCCTTTTGGTGTTTGGGAGGACAGACACTCCAAGCAACTGAGCTATCCAGCCAGGGTTAGTTAGGGTTCCCTGTTTGGTCATGTGATTTTTTTTTTTCTCTTACTGTTTACAAAAGTAGTTTTATATGTATAGACAAAAGCAAGTATTTTACATTAAAAAAAGTTAATTGAAAGGGAATGGCTGTGCTGTCTAGATTTTGTCTTCTGGCGAGTTT